GTTCAGGCCCCTCTGGGAGCGAGTCCTGCCGGGGTGCGTCCAGGGGTTGCTGTAAATTTGGGAACTGGCCGGGTCGGAGGACAAGGTGACAGGTGTGTGGTGGCAGGAGCATCCCTGAGCCCGCGGCTCCTGCGAGAAACGAAACCACGCAGAACATGGGGGTGTCTGTGCAGAGTGAGCAGCCCGGTCCCCGCTCGTACCTGGAAGTGTGCCGGTGGTGCTGAGCGCTGCCCGTGCTAGGCAGCGTGTTTGTAAACCTGACAGTCGTGGTTTTTGGAAAAGATGTGTTCTCTTCCATGTGTCAAATGAATGGATGCAGGTGATGGCGATGGCTGCTGTTAACCAGCCATATAAACTAACAAATATTTGTTTGGTTTTTTTGTAGGTGTGTTGGTCTTGATTTTACGTACTGAAAGCTGATCCTTCCTCCTCCAAGATGGCATTTGTTTCAGCACAAGGGCCTACGGTGGTGGACCAAACCACTCTGATGAAAAAATACCTTCAGTTTGTGGCTGCTCTTACGGATGTCAATACACGTAAGATACTTTTTTTTGTTGAAAGTTACAGTTCTTCAGAAGTTTGTTTCACAAACGTTGCAGTATTGTTTAGACATCTCATAAATGTGTGTTGAATTCCCTTTGAATTTCATTTGAGTTTTGATTATTGAAGAAGCAACATGATGATTAATACTTGCATGAGCCAAAGTGAGCGAGCTGTGTGTGTGTGCAGTTGCGTGATGGTTGTTTGTGAGAATTGTGTGCCTTGTGATTGGGCAGTGATAGCTAAACTGATAAGATCTGATTGCTTCTTTTATCAATGAACCAGGTATTTTCCTTCGTAATGTAGTTTTATATTTAATTTTTTTTTGCTTGAATTTTCGTTTTCAGCCGATGAAACCAAATTGAAAATGATGCAAGAAGTCAGTGAGAATTTTGAGGTAAATAAAAAACAAAAACCAAAAAACCACCTCCAAACAACAAAACTCCACCAAAACCCCCAACCTTCTGAAGTGACAGTCTTTCTTGTGCTTAATGTATGTTGGTTTGGTTTCTGATGTTATGTGGCTAAAATATTAATATTAGTATCATGTGACTTATGATTTATATTGTTGTAAGTCATTAGTTTCAGGTTTGTATTTAGGAATTAGCCAGGTTATTGAAGAATTACAACATTTAGACTTAAATGAAAGAGCTCTCTATTCAGTAAGCGTTTAAATAAAGGTGGAGTAATAGATGTTTCTTCTATTTTGTTGAATGCTATGAAATCTCTGTATTTAAAGCATTTTTTGTTTAGTTCAAATGTGTATTGTGCCTTCATGAAGCAGAGGCCCTTATGATTCCTCTGAGTAGTTCCATAGTATAGAAGTGAAGGAGAAGTTGTCAGATGCAGAATCTGACATCACGAGTGGAGGTGGCTCCAGTGACATCTTCTGCATAGTAATGGACCGTCAAGTTTACATGAGCAGCAGAAAAAAAGTGAGACACAAGTTAAACCAACCCTGTGTCAGCAGAATTTATACTTTAATGGAATGCTTAGTTATTATTTGTCTGTTTTGAAATTATAGAGAACTTGTTATTTTGTAGAATAAGTTCAAGATCTTAGGATCACTGTGATTCTCTCTGTATCTAGTTTTTTAGTCAAGTTGCAATAAAAAAGAGTGCTACCACTATAACATATTCTGTCCTTACCTGCTTTATTTGAAGTGATCTCACCTGGTCCATGATGTGAAAACACAGATACACATTCAGTCTAGTTTAATGTCTGGATATTTTTAAGTAAGCTTTATGCGATGTTACATCCAACAGGTTAACACAGTGGAATAATAAATTTAGAGCTGGTCTAATTGTACTATAAAAAAAAGTTAAAAGCTTTAATTAGTGTGTATAAGCAAATAAGTAGATGTCTGTGACAGTTCTGCTTCTATATGCACACAGGGTGAGCAGAGCTTCATGTTACCATAAGTGCCTATCTAAAAGTATCCTTGTGGAGTTTTGTATCTGTTTAATCTGACCTGCCATCTCTGAAACAATTTGTTATCTGAGTAAAAGAATGGTTTTAACAGCTTAGTCTAGTGATCTGTTTAAAATCTGAAGGCTTAGTTGGTTCTCTTTGCTCTTGTCTTCAGTAGGGAGGAACTTGTTCAATATTTGTTTTGATAATGTTCAAGATGGAGTGCCTTTCTTCTCTTGGAACTCACTTGGTTCTGTAGTGTGGTCCTATGTAAAGAGATGAAGATTTGACTTATGCTCAAGTACAGTTCTATTTGTTGGAAAATACTTGAGGGAGCAAAAGGAACCACTAATATAGTTCTAGTTTCCTTTATTCCTTTGGAGGTAGTGGACAGTATTGTTTCATGTTGTTATGCTAGATGGTTTCTTTTCATCTTCTGTTTCCATAGTCTCCTTATAACTCTTCTCTATCTCGTACTTCAGCTTCCCGTAGCTCTGAAGTTCAACAGGTTTTATTTTTCACTTCAATTGAAAAAAAGTTTTTTTAAAAACTTAGCTGTTTGCTGGAAGTTACAGCCTTCGGATTCTGTTGGCTGCATTATTGATCTGGATGCCTCTCTAGGTAGGGGTAGAACTGAACATGGATTGATGATTCTGGAGGACTTTTTGACATGAAGTTTAAAATGGAGGTGCTTCACCATAATGTTATCCGCTTGACAGTGCTAGTTGCTAGGGTGTTGCTCTGGGCTAGCAGAGGATGTTGCTCTTCTAAACCAATTTCTGGATGGAAATGTTTAATTTTGCATCTTGTTTCTCGGAAATTATTTGTTTGAGGGGGATTTTTTTCTTCTCCATGTCTTCATAGAGATTCTGGATTCCAAATGGTCTGTATTCATTGTTTCTCCAGTCTCTTGGAGGACAAAAAGCTTCCAGAATCAACTTCCATTGCTGCTTCTGATGTTTTGTGCCAGCGGTGTAATTCTGAACTTGGTTAGAGTAGTTTCTTATGTGGTTCAGAACAGCAATTCATAGATATCGAGAGTGCTGCTAATTTTCTGCTCTTTGCTGTTTAGCAAAGAATGTGCTTTCAGAAATTTAAGCTGAACTTGTGAAGGTGTACATTTCCTTGAATGGATTTGTGAACCACTTTCCAAGAATGCTGCAATACCCATTTCATATCTTGTTGGAAACTTCCCTGCCTTTCTTCAAACTAGGACCATTCTCATGGCATAAAGTTGGGGAGGTTAGGAGTCTTTCAAAATTGAAAAGACTGTAGGGAAGGGGGAAGTAGAGGAGGAGAAGATACAGCTGGACTTTCTTTGGAAGACCCTTGAGGTGAAGAGAAGATGAGGGCTAGTCTGCTGTTGACACTATTCTGTCTTGCATTGTCGTGGTTTAACCCCATCTGGCAATAAGCCCCACACAGCCGCTTGCTCACTCCTCCCCGCTGGGATAGGGAAGAGCATTGGAAGAGTAAAAATGAGAAAACTTGTGAGTTGAGATAAAGACAGTTTAATAGGCAAAGCAAAAGCCATGCACACAAGCAAAGCAAAACAAGGAATTCATTTACTACTTCCCGTTGGCAGGCAGGTGTTCAGCCATCTCCAGAAAAGCAGGGCTCCATCACGTGTCACTGTTACTTGGGAAGACAAAGGCCGTAACTCCGACTGTGTGTCCCCCCCGCCCTTCTACTTCCCCCAGCTTTATCTGCTGAGCATGATGTCCTATGGTATGGAATATCCCTTTGGTCAGTTGGGGTCAGCTGTCCCAGCTGTGTCCCCTCCTGCTTTTGTTTGCACCCCCAGCCTCCTCGCTGGTGGAGTGGGGTGAGAAGCAGAAAAAGCCTTGACTCAGTGTAAGCCCTGCTCAGCAATAAGGACGACATCCCTGCATTATCACTGTTTCCAGCACAAACCCAAAACACAGCCCCCTGCTGCCTAATGTGGAGAAAATTAACTGTCCCAGCCAAAACCAGCACATGCATTTAAAATGTTTTTGTGCCCTTATTATGGTATGTCTGCTTTCTTGAAAGCCCTTGAGATAAAAAAACCCTTTGTTTGCACAAAGTGCCTTGTGTAATAAGATTTATGGTTTCATGTTACTAAATCTCCCTGCAAAGTAGAGAATGGTAGTGGAAATCTATAAAAGGAGGTGGCTTTATAAAAAATTAAGGTTATTCAAGGAATAATGTTAAACCCCTGAAATATCTATGTAGATTTTACAAAAGAATGCTGCATTCTTGTTTGTACCTTTATTAACAGACCAGTATGCTTCTGTATCACAGATACTTCAGAGAATCGTCCAACAGCATGTACCTAAACTACAGCTGAGTTTCAAAATGAACCTCACACTGGCCAAGTTAGATTTTATTTTGAGGCAGATGCCGCAGTTGCAGATGGAGGAAGCTTGCTCATCTAATATTTCTTCTGGCTTCACAAGTGGATAGTAGTACAAGATTATTTTCACAGTGGAAAGTAATGCTCAGTTTGGCTGCTGTATGCATAACTAAATATCAATTTAACAGTGGCTGAAAAGTCTTGGGAATTCTAGAGCACTCAAGTGTGGGTGCACTTGACAATCTTTCTTGTTCAAGAACATCTATAGTGTTTTAGTTTTTTTTTCCTCCCATTTAAAATAGCTTTATGTTATGCCAATTTTATTTTCTCTGTGAGGTGATTATTAAGATAGCAAAGAAAAATCGTATTTCAGTCCATTGGGATTGGAGGAAAGAGATTAATTTGTATTCACTTCTCTTTGTTTCACTAATAGTGCTCTATTGCAGTAGTGTGTCAGCAGATGCTTCATCACTGAATCTATTAAGGCGTCACTGAAAATGTTTAATAGTGTCTTTGAATGTAGCGTAATATCATCTGTGTAATGTCTATTATGTCTGGTCTCCCCATTTTTTGGTGTGGTTTTTTCTTTTTTTTTTCTTGATTAGAATGTGACATCATCCCCTCAATATTCTACCTTCTTGGAACACATCATCCCTAGGTTTCTCACCTTTCTACAGGATGGAGAAGTTCAGTTTCTGCAGGAGAAGCCAGCACAGGTAAGCTGTGTGGAGCATCCCCTACCTTTTTGAAATGTGCGCAGCAGACACTCGTTCAGTGAAGTACTTTGTTAACCTGATGAACTGTGGACTTTCTTGTTAAAAATAGATCTGTTGTTTGGAATGAAACTGAAGAAGTCCAGTTTCTAAATAAGTTACTTGTAAACTTTGCAAATGTGGACTTCTGTGAAAAATGAGGAAAAACTAGGTGCAACAGAATTGGCTTTCTCACTGAAATACGATGCATTGTTACAAGTTACTGACTATACTGTGGAATGAGAGGCGAAAGTTGAATCTATGTCATTAAATACTTAAAACTGAGTTCCTCAAAAAAAGTCTGATAACTTGCATTTTGCAACTATAAATTAGTTAAATTTGCCTTATTCACATATGTGGGTAGTAGGAAGCATCATGTGTTTGTATATAAGTGTGCGTCTACACAGAGTACAATGGCTTTTTTTTCTTTTTAAGCATGCAGAAGTGTTAAGCTGGAAAGATGTTGCAACCAATTGTTGTTTTTTGTGGGCTTTTAGAAATTTGTATCATATCTTTATTTTTCCTCTTTTTATAGCAACTCCGAAAGCTAGTGCTTGAAATAATTCACAGAATACCAACAAATGAACATCTTCGTCTTCATACCAAAAATATCCTCTCTGTGATGTTTAGATTTCTAGAGGTATTTTTTTTTGTCTTAAAACTGTTTCAAATTTTCAGAAAGATTTTCCTCTTTATTCATCTCCAAAAACTGCTGGGGTAGGATTTTAGATAGCTGTGTTTCTGGAGCAAGAGTGGAAGGGCATTCTGGTTAGGCTTTACCAGTGTGATATCTTGTTATCTACAGGCTTTCTGCACGTTCTCTTCTGTCGTTTAGAGACTTGAATTTTATAAATGCAAGGAACTGTTCTCACGCTAGGCAAGATTTTGTTCATCAACACTTTTCTGGCTTATATGAGTACAGATATCTTATTCTAGAGACTGTTGTGTGTCTTACTTGGGGTTGAAAACACTGTCATTTGAAGTCCACAGAAAATAACGTGCTCTGTGTGGAGGTGTCTTGGTGTGTACATAGCCCCACTTGTGTCTCTGTCTGTGGGGCATTAGGAACAGGTCTGATGGTACACAGTGGTTGAAACTATCGGCTTTTTTGGGGTAGGGGTGGATTTATTTTGTAGCCATACTATAAGACTGCAAGGTAAAGTTGTAGCAATGGAAAGGCATCTTGCTCATGCAAATTTGTATTAATGGAGCGCTTGTAGGTTTCTGAGATGAGTATAATTTTATAGGGTTTTGAAGTACTTACAGAGCAGTTGAAGAATGCAGCAGTAGGCTCACTAAAGATTATCCTCTTTTCAGACGGAGAATGAAGAAAATGTACTGATTTGCTTGAGAATAATTATTGAATTGCACAAACAGTTCCGACCAGCAATCACTCAAGAAGTAGGTCATAAATGTTGTTGCATGGTATAGAATTTACTGCCATGCTCTTCAGAATTGTTATTTTGTTCCGGTGGGTGGGTTGGTTGGCTGGTTTGTTTTTCCTCCTGTCCTTTTATATTGGCTGACCTGTTGTGGTAACCATATATTTAGTGTGGGTTTTTTTTTTTTGTTTGTTTTTGTTTTTTTACCTTAAAGTAATTTTAAAAAGAGGATTGCATAGTGCTAGCACCCCTGGGGAAAAAAAAAACAAACTGTTAAAGCCTAGTTGTGATTAGACTAAGGAATAAAATTCCGATAGAAGGGAAGAGAATTGACACCTTTTTAGTTTGTGAAGGGAAAGTCCTGGAAAAAGAATATTGTGATTGTCTTCTCCCTGCCCTAGTTCCCGTTGCTTCTCTTCTGGGACGCATGAGGGAGTATTGGGGAGTTTCTATTTTTATTCTTTTGCTTTCTTTCCTTGATTTTCTCCTGGGAAGACTTAGTTGGTTTATAGTAATTATTTCTAATAATACTGTATTGGGACGACATTCAGATGATAGGTAAATTGGATTCTTTCCAAGTGCAGTTTGAATTGATATTGGCAGAACAGAAGGAAATAGGAGAACGCTTTCAGGTTCTTTTAAAATATAATGAAACATATAGTCTAGTCGTGACTAAAGATTTTATGTAATTGTACTGTAGTTGTACTGAGATTATAAAATTGTAATTTTTTTTTTCTTTATGGTAAACTGACTTCTTCCTTTCTAGATTCATCATTTTTTGGACTTTGTGAAACAGATTTACAAGGAACTTCCGAAAGTAGTGGTAAGCTTTTTATTTCTTAAATTGCACTTGCTATTGTCGGAAAACTAGTTTTTATTTCTTAATTTTATCTCAGAAAGATCTTAGCATAACTAGTTTTGTATCTAGTGATACAAAATAAATATGGTTTTAATAAAAATATTTAACAAAAATACATCTAAAAATGGGTAAATTTAGATTTTGAATTAGAAAGCTTTCTGTTTCTGGCACAGTATTACTAGTATGAGAAACTGAAGTAAGCTTACAGAAGTTTACCTGGTCAGTCAGCTAGTCAGTTGACTGCGGTGGTGTCCATGTAGCCGAATGTGGGTTTTTTTGAGGGAAGGGTAAGGTGATAACTTTCCAGCAGCTACAGCTCTTCTTGTTCTCTGTGGAGGCCCTTGCCTGCTCTTCCTCAGTGATACAGAGTGTCTGTTTGGAAGGTTTTCTTTAGCAAAAGAACCACTTTAGCTGGGGTTGCTTTCCTGCTTCTTGCTGTGGTGGGAGTGAAGGGTTGCGGGGTGTATGTGCAGTCCTAGTAGGTACTGCGGTGTAAATGTCACGCACAGAGACAAAAAAACTGTCTGCCATAAGTTGTGGGGAAAAACTATATGGAGGAGTTCTAATGAGGTGAATGGCCTTTTGACTGTTACTAGCATTATTATATTTTTCTTCTGCTCTTTGCTTCTAGAATCGATATTTTGAGAGTCCTCAGGTGATTCCAGAGAACACTGTTCCTACTCCTGAAATGGTTGGCATGATTACAACAATCGTGGTGAAAGTAAACCCTGAGCGAGAAGATAGTGAAACGAGGACAGTGAGTATTCTAACTGTGTCTGTCTCACAGTACCCCAAATCATAAGGGCAGGTAAAGGTAATAGGCTTTCTTTTTGCTTGTTTTTCTTACTCAGATTTATTTGTAGAAGCTGATTGAAACTTTTCAAGTATTTTCTATGCAGCTGTAATTACAGGATTTTTATTTCATTTAATACCAAATAGTTTTGTGCTTTTTAAATGTGCTAACTATAGTGCTAATAAAATGAGCAGTTTCTTTTAAAATGTATTTCAAATACTTTTTTGAATTAATTACTAATCTGTTTATAAAACATGTATTCTTTCTTTCAGCATTCTATAATTCCCAGAGGATCTTTATCTCTAAAGGTCTTGGCTGAGCTACCTATTATTGTTGTTCTTATGTATCAGGTTAGTATTTTGCATGTTAATACTTTTTATTCCTGAATGGCTTGTGTAACTTCTGCTGGCTAACATACATGGCAGTATGTTTTACTACCAGTTTTGAGATTAAAATATGGTCTAAAGATAAGCCACTGAGATTTCTTCATTTTTTCTGATTAGCTCTTGGATAAGTTGACTGCGAGTGTGAATTTCTCTAATAATACTTTTCTTTTTTTAAAGCTCTACAAACTGAACATCCATAATGTAGTAGCTGAATTTGTGCCCTTGATTATGAACACTATTATAATACAGGTTTCTGCTCAAGCGAGGTAAGAGCATTTTGACAGTATTTTGATGATATTTGGGATAAACTTCTTAAACCTGCTCTTCAGGACTGCCCAGAATATTTTTGTCTTGCATCCTGTGATTTTTGTTTCTAGTCTTAATGCTTTTAATCTCAAAAGTAGCAATAATTATTTGACTTAAAATTGTCGCAGTTTTGTAGGTGAATTGGCAGATCTGAATATTTCTGTTCTGTATCACTGATAAAATCCATAGCTCTGCAGTAGATCCCAATTTATTATTTGATGATGCACTTTTAAAAATAGAGTTTCTGACAGAATTCCCTATTACCACAGACAGTATGTGGTGGAGACCATGTTAGCCAGCACGTTTGTTGTTGTTTGATCTTTACCGTACCACCAGTGATTCATTTTTGATCTTCCAAGGTATAGCTTAGGTGAAGCCGTGTGATGTAGGTGATATGGGTGCTGCTTTTTCTGTTTCAGAGAGAGATCATAGAATTATAGAGTCATAGAATCATTGAATGGTTTGGGTTGGATGTTTCTAAGGAGCAGCAAGTTGTGCTGAGCAGGGCAGTAGGAGTAAGATCTCTGTCTTTCACTGTTTGCCTGGATGATCTGAATAAGTGGGTGAAGCTTGAGACAGACAAGTCTGTAGGAGGGAATATTGCTTGGGAAAAAAAAAAAATTGCCCCAGTTAGGGGAACAGAGACAAGTGTTTGATGTTAATGTATTGGCATGGCTTTCTGCAGAAAGTTGAAAATTGTATGGCAGCCTCAGGGCTGTGTGTTTCTGCTTAGAGTGTAAGATGCTGGGAATTTGAATGGCAGCGAGCTTGTTGAAAACGGGCTCTCCCATGGTGATTTTATTGCCTTATGAAGCAAGAACCTCGATACAAGATAATGTAATTTGAAACTTCTGTGAATTTCCTGAATGAAGGTATTAAAGAGGAGGAACAAGTTGTAACCACTGTTCAATTTAATTTCAGGCAACATAAACTTTATAACAAGGAATTATATGCCGATTTTATTGCTGCTCAAATTAAAACGTTGTCTTTTTTGGCTTACATCATAAGAATTTACCAGGTAGGTTGCTTTTTTGTTTCTTTGTTGCAACAGATCTCTAGTGATGGCAGGCAGGTGACCAGCATGGCTGCAGTGGATTGGAGAAAAGAGCATTTGTGCAGCAAATCTGAAGTAAAGTAGATTTTACTTTACAGCAAAGTAAAAATGTGCCATTCTCCCTGTCCCAGGTGGTTTTGGAATGGCTTGTGTATTTTCTTTGTATAAGTAGGCTTCTTAAAGAGACACAAGTGAATTTTAATTGAATGTTATTTTGCAAATGTAAAGCAAAGTTTTAAAATAGAATGTCATAATAATTGCATTCTTTTTTTTTTTTTCTTTTTTTTTTTTTTTGTTGTAGGAATTAGTGGCTAAATATTCTCAGCAAATGGTAAAAGGAATGTTGCAGCTGCTCTCCAATTGTCCAGCCGAAACAGCGCACCTCCGGAAGGAGCTTCTGATTGCTGCTAAGCACATCTTGACAACAGACCTGAGGAGCCGTATGTAGTACTTCTTAAAAACATGTCTAAACTAGAAAGATTTCAACAGTTTATGTGTACTTAAGAGGCCTATTGCTTACTATTTCTTTTGGAGCATTCCATACTTCTGATTATTTTGGGAGCATGTGTGATTTTTTTTTTTTATGTGCCTTTTTTTGCTTTTCGTTAAAAAAAAAATCATCTGAATAAGGTGGCATTCTGAACAAGTGGTTTTTCTAGCTTTCCAAGTATCTGTTCATCCGAGTAATTACCATTCGATGATGGACATTTGTGTTGGTTTGTAATTGTGCCATTATGTATAGCTTTTTTATCCTTTTTTTTTTTTTTTGATTACAGAATTTATTCCATGTATGGACAAGCTATTTGATGAATCTATACTAATTGGCTCTGGATACACTGCCCGAGAGACACTGAGGTATGACAGAAAGAATAAATTAATGCCTGCCAAGGCTGGTTTCTTTCAAGGTTTAGTAGTATTTCCCACAATGTCTGTATAGGGTCCCAAATCTTCGCTTTAAATAACTAATTTTATTAGATTCTAATATGGAAGAGCTGCTGGTATAAATTGTTTGCGAAGTGCTGTACACGTCGATGGTGCAGAATGGTAGTGTGAGCGTAGGGCAAAATGAGATAAACGGGCAAATGAAAATTATTTAATTTTCTGAATTGCAGAGCACAACCACAACAGTGGTCACAGGGAAGTCAACTCAATCCTTGCCCAATATTTAATGAAACAGCCTAAATCTTGTGTCCAGTGTAAAATCTGAATGAGATTTAAACTGTTTTGTCAATAAGTACCTTAAAACTTAGTTGCAAATGAAAAAAAAGGGGAGAATACTTGCTTTCTGTCTTTAATAGTGTATCAGGTACTTCTGCTGACCAAATTGATGTATGTGACCTAGGAGAATTATTTCCTTGTGCTTAAGTATCAAGTGTACCTTATTGAAGACATGGATTAGAAGTATTTACTAGATGCTTAAACCTGGTATTTGAAAATAAAATTGCTTTAAAAATTTATCGGGTTTTTGTAATTACTTTTGAAATCATGAATCATCAATGATAAATTGTGAAAGAGCTTACCAGCACTGCTTAACATGTGGCTTAAAACATGGTAATTTGCTCTTAACTGTATGTAGATGAAAACATGTGCTGAGGCTGTTCAGCAATGGGGGAAGGAAGATCAGAGAGGTAATATTAGTGTTGTGGGACAGATTAATGTATCTTTGGTTAGATTATACAGGTTATGATTCTGTTGTATAATTGAGAAAGCCTTGTGAACTCTGGATTTGCATATAAAAATAGAAAATTTGAATTGAGAATCTTGGAAATAGCTCCAGGCAGTAATTATTGGTTAAGTCCAATTAACGGTGATTATAATTGTCCTCAATGTGTTTTCTTCATTTCTTGTTTTTACTGATAGACCGCTTGCATATAGTACACTGGCAGACCTGGTACATCATGTCCGTCAGCATTTACCACTCAATGATCTCTCCCTTGCTGTCCAGTTATTTGCCAAGAACATTGATGATGAGTCGTTGCCTAGCAGTATCCAGACAATGTCTTGCAAGCTTCTGCTAAATTTGGTAGACTGTATCCGGTCTAAAAGTGAACAGGAGAATGGAAATGGTAGAGATATTCTTATGAGAATGCTGGAGGTATTGATTTGTTTAAAACATTTGATATTAAATTGAGTATCCTATTTTATAGTATGTTGTCAGTTACATTTCACTTTCTCCTTTCTTCGGAAATGAGAATATGTAGAACCAGTCTGCATAATATATTTCATTTTAATGCTTCAGGGAAGGGCTTTTCAAAATGCTGTACAACTGGGATAATATCTCAAGTGTAGCGGAGATGCTTTGCCAACTCAGCTTATTCATTCAGTGACTTGTTTCAAATCAGGAAATGGAGTGTCTGTGATGGTGGGGGTAGCTTGACTGTTGTTCTTATTTTTAAAAAAATTCATTTAAATTTAAATTGTAATCTCCTTTTTTTTGCACTTAAGGATGTATAAGAATGGTATTTTTTTTAGTGCCTTCTGCTTATGGGTTTTTTTCATCCTGAATGCAGATTATCTCACAGGTCCTTGGCATAGCCCAGTACAACCTGCAACATGTGAAATATCCACTTTCAAGACCTACTGATCTTTTTAAAGGATCTTCCTTATAGGGAGGATTTTTTGGAGGCTTTTTTGTTTTGTTATTTTTTATTATTTTTAAAAATCAGGGATGCACCCTGAAAGCTGTGACACACTGTCATGGTTCTGAATGCACCAGGGAAGAGATTTAGTCATTTTAATCATCTTCAGATTGTTTAGTATTACCCCTAAACTTTTTTTTCTTAGGGTAGTAGTAGTTTAGGGAATGGCTTTCATACTAAATACAAAACAGAAGTGACGGTGCAAGTGAAAAATCTCAATGTTGTGTATTGCAGTGGGTCCTTTATTCCAAACTTCTCAAACTCAAGTAGCTTTCTCATAGAGTTTGCCTTCCAAATAAACTTGTACTTTTATCCCTGCTTTTTTAAAAAATCTGTAATGTAGCACAGTTGTTTGGTCATTTATTTATCAAATCAAAATTTGTAATAACATGTGAATTCAGAGAGGACACATCTAGAGAAGAAGGGAGTGCACAGAACTGTGGTGGTAGTGGGAAAATATCAGAGCAAGCCAAGTAGATCTAGGCTTTAAAATCAGGGAAGTACAGAAAACTTTAAACTGAAACCTTGTGCAACATGTCCCTTGTTTAGTATCAGCCAAGAGGCAGAAATGTTGGGGACGACTGTTCTGCAGGATTGGTTATTGCTTTCTAAATGTGATATACTGCATAAAACTAGAACTTAAACCTATAATGTATACATCTTTTAATACATCTAACATACATTATATGTATGTCTGAAAAAATCAGCTTTTTATGCTTAATAGTAAATATATATATAGACTCAAATACTGTCTTATTTTAAAAAATGAATTCAAATAGCTTTTAAGTAGTTAAGTAGAACTGTAGAGAGATCAATTTTTAGTTGATGGTTTTTCTAGTTTTAACAAGTTCTAAAAGTAAAAATATTTGCTGAGAAGTAAGCAAGCTACTTTGTTGATGTGCTTAAAAATATTTGCTGTCATTTGAATGACTTGAGAAATACTTAGTTGTAAATTTTATTGATCTAAGTATGCTGACTTGAAGTATTGGTATTACTAAACTTATAATGATTTTTGCAGAAGAAACTTATTTTTTTTTTCTTCCCCTTTCCTGCTCTTTCATTTGCCTTTCCTCTTTGTGCCCTAGGTTTTTGTTCTGAAATTTCACACTATAGCACGGTACCAGCTTTCTGTAATTTTTAAAAAATGCAAGCCACAGTCTGAACTTGGGACTGCTGAAGCCGCGTTACCCGGAGTACCGACAGCAGGAAATGCAGCACCTGTTCCTGTTCCATCTCCTGCCCCAGCCACTCCAGTGGCCCCTGCGCCAGTACCTGTGTTTGAAAAACAAGGGGAGAAAGAAAAAGAGGATAAACAGACATTTCAGGTCACAGATTGCCGAAGCTTAGTAAAAACTTTGGTCTGTGGTGTCAAGACAATCACGTGGGGCATAACATCATGCAAAGCTCCTGGTGGTAAAACTGCATAATATTTAATTACGTTTGTCTTTTGTAATTCTATGATTAAAACTCTCTAGCATGAAAGCAAATAGTATTTTTTAACGGTTAATTCCTGTCTTATTCTTTATCTTCTTTCAGAAGCACAATTCATTCCCAATAAGCAGTTGCAACCCAAGGAGACTCAAATCTATATAAAACTGGTAAAATATGCAATGCAAGCTTTAGATATTTATCAGGTATGTAACCTGTTATCATGTATTAGATCTTTTAACAAGGATTTATTTGTCAGCTAAAAGAGAAATTTCATGTGTAGTATGTTTTCATTAAGTCTTTAATTTCAGGACCACAGCTATTGGGAAATTTTATGAATTTCCAAGTAGTTATAACTTGCAAGGAGCAAATGATTTTCTTAACAGTTGTTGTTTTCTGTGTTTATGAAGGCAGGTCGGACTAAAAATCATTGTCTTTCCTGTAGTGGATTAAATCTTTTCTTCAAAGAGATAGTTTAGCTATCAGTTGAAGCATTCACAGGGCTATGTTTATCTTCTGTAGTTACACAAAGTACAGATGAAATGTGAATGTATGTGATTTGGAATTAAGTAACTTTACAATTACACTATGATATCTCCTGCTGTTGTCTTTTTCCTCTCCTGACTTCATGGTTTTAAAATCTGTGCTGAAAATACTCTTATTTTAATATTTGTTTTGTCACTGTTGGCTCTTGTGCCCAAATTCTGATTGTATGGGGCTTGCATGTGGAACCTGTAAAATCTCAGATTTTTTCAAAAGATGTTTTAAGAATAGTAGGTGAAGTTATTCAAATTCTGCAACCAATATATGCATTTTGTAAATTCCCATAGGTCCAAATAGCAGGAAATGGACAGACGTATGTTCGAGTAGCAAACTGTCAGACAGTCAGAATGAAAGAGGAAAAGGAAGTTCTGGAGCATTTTGCCGGTGTGTTCACAATGATGAACCCTTTAACTTTTAAAGAAATCTTTCAGACTACTGTTCCTTATATGGTGGAGAGAATCTCAAAAAACTATGCTCTTCAGGTATTATGTTTTTGTTTACTTTTTTCAATTGATAATAAACCTGTAGAAGATAGCTTAATGCCTTGAAGTCCATAGGGCTGAAGTGGAATTATAAATAATAATGTTGAAATTAGCATGCAAGATTTGAAGCAGTCTATAAAAATACTTTGTAAAGATGAATTTTCAAAAACTTTGCAGACTAAGTGATGTAATACAAACATGAGGACTTCAGTTTAGATGTAAATGGACTTCATTCTTGAAAAGTATTGAACATTGTCGAGTTCTTGTTTTGTTCAGTTGTGTTTAATGTTCTGACCTACTGTTTTACAGAACCCAAGTCCTATTAATACATGTTTTAAATTAAACTTTAAACTTGAATGCTCAAGTTGCATACGTGGCTGTTTTCCACTGAGGATAACCTGAATCACTTGGGTATCAGTGGAGAAGGGGGAAGAAATTTGTCTTAGTTTTTTTTTTTTTTTTTTTTTTTTTAAAGGGGTAGTGCATTTATCTCTCTGTTCTTTTCATTACATCAATAATTCCTTTGTGGTTTCCTTTTATAGATTGTTGCCAATTCCTTCTTGGCAAACCCTACTACCTCTGCCCTCTTTGCAACGATTTTGGTAGAGTATCTTCTGGATCGGCTGCCAGAAATGGGCTCTAATGTGGAACTCTCCAATCTGTATCTCAAGCTGTTCAAGTTAGTCTTTGGCTCCGTTTCACTGTTTGCAGCTGAAAATGAACAAATGCTGAAGGTAAAGGTCGTTTGTATTAAAAGCAAAAAAATCTGTTTTGAATCTTAATACATTTTTCAGATGTCTGAAGAAACAGAGTTTTATGCTGTCTAATGTGTCTTTTTGTGTTTGAACTGCTATTAGTGATACATCTCCTATTATTTCCGAATGCCAGGTCTATTACCTTATTGATAGGAGATGGCTTCTCTGAATGTTTGCTTCATATTTGAAACTATAAAGTGATGTCCTAATTCTGAATATGGCTGACTGATACATGCTGTGGTCTGATTAGGATTGCCATAAAACCCTGTAACTTTATGGTCAGGATATGCATATCTTTTCTTTTTTTTCCTTTGTTTCCATGTTAACTTTTGCTTAGACTGGAATAACTTTTTTAAGTATTTGTGAATTTTGTTCATTTGTGTCATATTCAATGACGCCTACCTCTTGAGTTAGATATTTCTCTGCCCTTGAAAAGTCTGAATTAAGGAATGCTATTTTTTCTATTGACAACATATTGTTTATGTATTCCAAGGATCTACTTATGTTGATGAGATCATCTCAGCGTTCAGGGAGTTTAGAAATACTGAGCTTGAAGCGAGAGTGTGCTTTCTCATAAGAGTAACAGCTGCCTATATCCAGAAAAAGCATTAAAATATTAATTGAATGCTGCTCATTCTCTCATAACTTTTCTTAATTTCTCTTCCTTCTAATTTAGAATCGACAAAATTTCTGGTACAGGTAACTGTGTGATAATGATTTCTGTGCTTAATGATTTGTAACGGCAGCATTAGTTCTGTTTTTCTGTGTAGAACAGAGTAGGGACTGCTGATTTTCCAGATTCTTTCAAAGATAAAAATAATATGAAGCAATATTCATGTAATCTTGCTTAAACTCTTCTTGTTTGTCATCAGAATCAAGGTCATTTGGATTTTATAAGCTGCAGATCCAATTTAAAGACTGTGATTTACGACCTTCACAGTTTCATGCTTCTGCTACGGTTTTTGTTTCAGCA